TCTCAATATCCACATCAATCTCCAAAAATTGACTCTGATGTCAAATGTCCACTCCTATTTCAATCATCACTATTCCCTGAGGGATGACAAAACTACTTGGCCAGCCTGACTTATGTTGTCATCACTCTTTGAGAGGAGGCAGGGCCCCTTGATTTACACCCTACCAGAATCCCATAGAGTGAGGAACTGGGAGTTACCCATCAAACGAAAAAGTTACCCATGTACCATACCTTTCCTGTTCTTCCACCATCAAAGCCCCATTCCTTGTATCAGCATGATTTTAAGAAGTCTTCCCTGTACAAGTATAGTACCCAAGAATACTTGAAGTCATTACTGACCAGATCTTTTCTATTAGTTGGCAACCAGTTGAGAACAACCAGTTGTCTTGAGTGGGGCAAGACAACTCGGAGAAGCAGGGTTGACATATCCATCAGTCCCCACCTCTGCCTCACTCACTGCTACAGGTGCTCAGTGCCACCGGGGACCTTGAACCCCACCCTTCACTGATTTGGAACCAATCAGGGTCTGAGTCCCAGTCTGTCACTTAGCTGTATGGCTGGGGGTTTAAAATTTTTTGAAAGCAAAACTTAAAAATCAGGAGATTTCATGCAAAAATCTGAATTCCTTTTTTCTCTAGAAAACCTGGCAACCCCTAAAACATTGGACCCACATTCCCTCATGGCTACCATCAGTGGTTGCTTCCCACTGTAGGTGTTTGTGTGCTCTAGTTTGGCACAGTCCCCACCACTCCCTCTCGTGGCACCATCCCACTTCACTCTGTTACCATCTGGCCCTGCCCCTTATGGAATTCTCAGTGACCCTCCTGGCATCCCAGCTGTCCAGTTCTTCATAACATCCCAGCACCAGTGACTGCCAGCTCCACTCCCAGGTTCCACCTGGATCTTGTCAGGTCCCAGGATGGTTGTCTCTCAAACAGGAGTCTGTCCCAGTCTGACTCAGCCCCATGCCCTATGTTCAGTCTCTCCATAACTTCCAGACCCTCAGCCCTCTTCTTCCTCCCAGTGACCTGGTACTCTCTAGCCCTACACCCTTTGTTTAACCCATGGTCAGTCAGCACTGCTCTAACCTCAAGAATACCTTAGTGCCTGGCTTCCATGTACCAGGAGTTTCACATCCCAAAGATTTCCTCCCATGGATTCTCTCCTCCCCATCCCACGGCCACCTCCCACCTTAGCCTCTTCACCACCCTCCTTACTTCTGATCTTAACTCCCTGCAGTCCATTCTCTATACCAGCGATTTTCAAGAAGTCTATTGAGTGTTTCTATCAGTATAACATCACTGACCATGTTTCCCCATGTGTACACATGCATATTGATATAGCACATGTGTATATTTATGTACACACTGACATATATATATATATATATATAATATATAATATTTATATACACGTTCACATACATATGTCCCCTATGCATACACGTACATACTTTGGTTTAGAAATTATATATACCACAAACACACACATACATATACACATAGGTTTATAAATTACGTATGGAGAGGCAGTGTAATAGTATGCTGTATTGCTTAAGAGCCCAGACTCTAAGGCTAAATGAACTGGGTTTGAGTTTGACCTTTATCACTTAAACAAGTTGCACTCTGTTCCCCAGTTTTCTCATCTGTAAATTAGAAATGACCCTATAGGGTTTTTAAGAGGACTGGAAAGTGTTTATAACACTGCTTGGCATTAGAAAGCACCCAGTGAGAGTTAACTCCTGTTATCCTTGTTGTTATTGATATTCTATCACATATAGTGCTATGAAGATTTTTAAGAACTTATATAAAAGGATAAAAATTAGGCAGAAATATCCATTCTAGCATTTCTTTCACATGCCATTGGATTGTCTGCACCCCACTTGGGGGTCACTGAATAAGCACTGTGTCAGGGCTCTCCACAATGCAGATCTTTCTGAGTTTTAAAATCTCTAATTGATTTCTCTACTGCCAACGGGATAAAATTCATACTCCTAAAATGAACATCCGAGCATCCTGCACTCACCTCGGTTGTATCGATGAGGATGGCTTTAGCTACAGATGCTAGAAAACATGACCTATAGTAGGTTCAATAAGAAGGAACTATGTCAGCTCCCAAAATGAGATTTCCGAGAGAGGGTGATTCAGGACTGAAAAGTGATGTCATCACTGACTAACAACCTCCAAGGACCCAGGATCTTTCCAAATTCCTGCTGGGTCAGCTTTGTCTTCATGGCCACATCACGTCCATAAAGAGAGCCATCTGTTCTGGTTCTTCCTTCTTAAGCATAAGGAAACTTCCCTAGGAGCCCCCAACTTCTCATTGGCCAGGTTTGAGGCACGTCACACTTTGAAATCAAATATTGGCAAAGGGAATGGAATGGCTATGATTGGCATGGCCTGATTGATCTGAGCAGAGGAGAGGGCACCTGCCCCATGAGGTGGGTTTCTTTGTGCAGTTGGGTTCTGTGATGAAGGTCAAAGAGGGGCAGTGGTGCCCCACTGGCATGGCCCTCACCTGCAGCTCCGGCCAGCAAGTGTTGGCTTTCCTCACTTGGGCTATCCTCTCCCTGTACCCCGAGTGGAGAGGCCACTGTTGTCTTTGCTGACCCTGTTCACATAGGGAGTCTTTCATGGAGCCTTTCCTTGGGCGCCAGCCCAACATTTTATCTTCACACGGAGCATTGTTTCTACAGCTGATAGGATATTTGCCATTTCTTGTTACCTTGTGCATTAATCTGATGCTCTATACTGTTTGAATGTGAACTGACAGGAGAGGCTACACTTTCTTTTTTTTTAATTTGTTTTTCTGGAAAAGATAAAACATTTATGTGGTTCGCTATTCAAAAGGCTCACAAGTGTGCACAGGGACCAGGCTCTCCAGTCTACCCAGAGATAACCAGTGGGACCCAGTATTGTATTTTTTCCTGAAAATATTTGATGCACGTACAAGCAAGTATTTATATCTGTTTATCTGTCTCTGTGGTTTTTTTCTTACCCTTTTACCCAAGTGGTAGCATATACAAACTGTTGAGTGCTGTGCTTTTTTTACTTTAAAATATATCTTGGAGATTATTCTTTATAGATATATTAAGAGCTTCCTTTTTTTAAATGATTGTTCAGTATCCCATCATATAGATATACTATAATTTATTTAATCATTTCCCTCTGATGTACTTTTAAATTTAACAATGTATTCGTTTCCTTGGGCTGCCATAACAAAGTACTACATACTGGGAGGCTTAAACAACAGAAAGTTATTTTCTCACAGTTCTGGAGACTAGATGTCGAAGATGAAGGTGTCAGCAGGGCTTGGTGTGTAGATGGCCATCTTCTCCCTGTGTCTTCACGTGGTCTTCCCTCTGTGTCTATGTCCAAATTTCCTTTTCTTATAAGGCCACCATTCATATTGAATTAAGGCCCATCCTAATGACCTTGTTTTAATTTAATTACCTCTTTAAAGCCCCTATCTCCAAATACAGTCATATTTTGAGGTACTGGGAGTTAGGACTTCTATTTTTTTGGGGGGCGGGGGGACACAATTCAGCCCATAATAACAGCTTAAAATGGTATCCCTAACAAATGCTCTAATGAATAACCTTGACATTTTATACATGCCTGAGTAAATGAGTAGAGTAAACTGTTGCAAGTAGAATTGCTGGGTCAAAGGGTACATGCATTTGTGACTTTGATAGATATCACCAGATCACCTACCATAGAGGTTAGACTAGTTATACTCCCTCTAACACCATAGGGAAATGCCTGTTCCCCAGAACTCATTAACACAGTCTATTTCCAGCCTCTTTGATCTTTAACAATCTAACAGATGGGAAATTGCATTTCATTGTACTACTGTGTTCATTTCTATTGCTGTATAACAAGTTATCTCAAAACTTTGCCACATAAAACAAAACTTATTATCTCGTGGTTGCAGTGGGCCAAGATCCAGTTTAGCTGGGTTTTCTGCTTCAGGCTTTCTCGTGAGGCTGCAGTCGAAGTGTCAGCCATGGCTATAGTCATCCTCTCAGCTCACTCACATGGTGTGAGCAGGTTGTTGGACAGAGGGCCTCAGTTCCTCACTGCTTGTTGCCCAGTGGCCACCCTCAATTCTTTCCCCTGTGAACATCTCCAGCATGGCACCGTGCTTCATCAAAGTATGTGGTCTGAGAAGTAAATAGAGTCTGCTAGCAAGATAGAAATCACTACCTTTTTATTTATTTATTAAGATTTTTATTGAGGAATTGGGGGAGGGGAACAGTGCTGGGGAATTGGGGAAGGGGAACAGCCAAGTTGTTGTCTTTCAATCGTAGTTGTGGAAGGCGCAGCTAGCTCAGTTCCCAAGTGCAGTCGCCATCTGGCTGCCCATTGGCAGCTCATGGCCGCTCAGCTTAAGGTGCTGTGTTCAATCTTAGTTGCAGGTGGGCGTAGCCCACCATTCCATGCGGGAGTCCAACCCGAAACCTTGCTGCTAAAAGCACACGCTCTAACCACTATCCGGCCTCCCATCAGCAGCTCAGGGCTGCTCAGCTCAAGGTGTCATGTTCAATCTTAGTTGC